TGGTCTTGCTTTGGTGGTGAGCTCCCTGCTTGGGCTCAAGACCCCGTCACTGCGCTCCGGGCCTTTGCCGTCCATGAGCACCTCGCCGCGGCTCTCGTTCTTGTGCCTCATGTCACTCGGGGCCTTTCCCCGCCGAGCACGGTCCGGTCTCCCTGTAGCTCATGCTAAAGGCTACCTTTTCTTTCTCAAACCCACTTTCCCCTTCCAGCAACAGTCTCACTTACAGCTTCCCACCATGGGCGAACTTCTCCATTCCTATTCCTGGAAAATCCGGCTTCTGTCCCTCCATTTACCAGAAACTGCTGCTTTAGGGTTGCCAGGGTGATGGAATCCAGAAGCCTGTCTTTAGCTCCCTGACCTTCCCCAGTCCCTGCGTGCTGTCTGCCCACCGACATTTGTGACCATGCAGCGCTGGCGTGTCCCTGACTTCCCTCCCCTCCATCTCTCCGAGCTCCACCCCCGGTGTTTCCTGGGGACCTGGTCGCCACGTCCTGCCCTCACCATGCCCCGCGCAAAGCACCTGTGCACACTGCAGCCGGCTCCAAGCCGGGTCCGAGCCCTGCTCAGTGCACAGTGCAGGCCACGTGGCACATGGGACACTGCCCAGGAACACCCCTCCACTCACGCTCACCTTCCTTGATATCTTCCCCCGCATCCCGGCCACCCCGCCTATACCCCACAGCCCTTTGCACCCTCCTGCCCTTCAGTCTAAGCCACGTTCTGTGGTCGTAGCTGGGCGGCAGCTCTTCCCACCTGGTTTTCTGTTATTTAGTTCCTCGACCGTGGGCTGACGGCTCTGCAGTCTGAATGAGCTGAGTTCAAGCCTCATCTCTGCCATTGGCTAACAGTGACTTCTTAAGAAAACATCTCTATTGAAGTATATTTCCTATACCACACAATTCACCATCTGAAGTGTACAATTCAACCTTTTCTTTTTTTTTTAGCATATTCACAGATATGTGCAAGCGTCCCCATGGTTGAGTTTAGAGTATTTTCATCACCTCAAAGAGAAGCCCTATTCCCTCTAGCGATCCACTGCCTATTCCCCTGCCCCCAGCAGCGCGAAGCACTCACCGTCTCTGCAGATGTCCCTGTTCTGCACATTTCATATGAACGGCACCAAATAATACAAGATTTTTGGGACTACCTTCTTTCATTTATAATGCTGTCGAGGTTCACCCATGCTGTAAAGCGGATCAGCCCTTCATTTATTTATGCCCGAATCATATTCCATTATACGGATGTACCACATTTGTTTATCCATGTTTTAGTGGATGGACATTTGGGTTGTTTCCACCTCTTGGCTATTATGAATAATGCTGCTATAAACACTTGTGTACAAGTTTTCGTGTAGACATGTCTTTTCATTTGTCTCAGGCGCATACCTAGGATGCACTGCTGGGTCATATGGTAGCTCTACGTATAATTGTTTGAGGAGCTGCCAGACTGTTTTCCCAAGTGGCTGCACCATCTTACAGTCCCCAAAGCACCATATGAGACTTCCGATTTCTTCACACCCTCTTCCACACGTGTTATTGTCTGACTTTTTGATTCTAGCCACCTTGGTGACGTGGTACCTCACTGTGGCTTTGATTTGCCTTCCCCTGGTGACTAAAGATGTTGAGCATCTTTTGATGTGCTCATCGGCCATCTGTGCATCTCTCTTGCTAACAGTGGCTTTTAACACTGGCCACTGAGCCTCAGTCTTCCCATCTGTAAAATGGGACGACCACCACCAAGGGAACACTCTCTAATAGAAAGCAAGAAGTGGGATCTGGAAACTCCATGACTCTGAGCTGAGGACACATGCGGCCGTGAGCTGTCTGACATGCCACTGGACCCAGCGGGCAGACAGCCCTCCAAAGACAGCAGCATCCTTTCGTTTCCCTGCCTCGCGCAGCCAGATTGGACTGCTCCATGGCCAGTGACGCTCTGTCAGGAATCTGCAGCCGGTGAAGCTGCTTCTTTCTCACAGTGACGTGTTCTCAGAAAAGCAATTTGTTAAGAGAACTAAATGGGGTGAGCTGGGAGTGAGGTGTGTGGCTTTCCAGCTCATAGCTGGTGTTCCAAGTTGAGTTATGTGCCCCCTAAAAGATAGGTTGAAGTCCTGGCTTTCAGGGCCTGTGAATGTGACCTTCTTTGGAAGCAGGAGCTCTGCAGAGGTCGTGGGGAACATGAGGTCACACTGGGGTAGGGTGGGCACTACCTTAACGACTGGTGTCCTTAGAAGAGGAAATTTGGACACAGACACACACACACAGGGCGATGGCCACGGGATGGCAGAGCCAAAGGCTGCATTTACGCTGCCACAAGCCCGAAACACCGAGGATTGCCAGCCACCTCCAGAAGCTGCAAGAAGCCAGGACGGGTCCTCCCCTAGAGGCTTCAGAGGGAGTGTGGCTCTGCTGACACATTGATTTCAAGCTTCTAGAGTCCAGAACTGTGAGAGAATACGTTTCTGTTGTTTTAAGCCACGCAGTTTGTGCTACTGTACTTTGGACACTGATATGGGTGACAGTGATGTTTACTGATGATGTGGCAAACCCTTGGGGGTCCTGTTCCGTGTTTGCTGTGTGCTTGGCATTCAGCCCACCACCATCTATCCACTGAGGACAGACTCTCTGCCCAGTGGGACAAACTGAGTCAGCCCCTGGTTGGTGTCCTCAGCTTAGCCTGAGAGACAGGATGCACGAGCATAAGCAGCAGCGTCAGAGGCAACACGAAGGGCAAGGCCAGGGCTGCTGGAGGCGCAGATTCTGGCCGGGACTGCCACACCCGGGGTGCTGAGTGTGGCCCCTGGTCCTTCCTGACAAATGCTGTGCTCAGTGAGAAAACCCCCGGACCCCTCCCAGGGCAAATTCCATCATCTGATTCTGGATCTCTAGGTTGAATAGTTGGGATTATTTTCTCATCTTACTCGTAAGGGTTACAGAGACCTTTTGATTAAAGCAAATGTCTTGTACATCAAAGCTGCTCACCATTACCCCTGGGCTTCCTATTAATCATCGTCTCTTAAATCTGTTCCCAAAGAGCCTCCCTAGCACAGGGCCAGCTGCTGGGCCCCCGTGATACGTTTTAATCAACGGTATTAAGCTTTTCCATTTTATGACATTTTAAGTAGATGATTAGACTCCAGTCACCAGGTGTCCAATAGTTTGACTTTGTGTCTGGGAAATAATTTTTGAAAATATCCATCATGTACACATGTTTGTATTTCTACGGAAACCATCTGGCAACTCTGGTAAAATGCAAAAAGGAATCTCTGAAATACAAGAAAAAACAAACCATGAGAAGAAATGCAGAAGCTTTATTAGAATCATTATTATTCTTGAAGTTAACAATTGAGAAATTCATTTAGGAAAACATTTTATATTCAATGATCTAGAACCCACAGACGCATGCCAGATCTAGATACAAGTACATGAAAATTGCACCTTTGGGAACGACGGCCCTCCCTCCAGCTGCAGACTGGAAAGCACTAAGGACGCCTCTGAATTTCTGTGGCGGAGGGCGCCATGGTCCCACGCCTGGCCTGGTGCTCCCGGGCCCCTCCCGGGCACTGGCTGCAGGAGGCACTTGGGGAGGAGTCTGCTTGCTCAGTACTTCATGGCAGCGAGGCCGGTCAAGGCTGGGTCTCCAAAAGCCACCTTCGGTTTATACCAACTGAAGTGACTAAGAAATTCAAGATGTGAGCACACAATGCCTTGAGGGTTACACACTGGTTTCCTGTAGGTCACTCGGAGGGGAAGCCAGACACTGCCTTTAAATGTGAGGCTGAGCCGTGCCTCTCCTTCTGGGTCCGACCAGGTCTGCTGCTGCTCTACCAGCTGGCGGACGCGGGATGCAGAGTGGCATCTGCAAGGCTGGCGCCGCGGACGCTGCTCACGGCACACACCGACCTGTAGCCAGCCCACTGCTGGTGGGCAGGACAGTCGGGCCGGCCCCTCCGGAAGCCCTGGTCCCGGAGATTTTGACACCTGGCTAAACGTAGGTGTGAGGCCGGGAGCAGTCTAGGGGAGACCCTACAGCAATCAGAGGACAATCTGATGCGCCCGAGTGAAGATGGGCCCAGGCAGAGACGTCCAGGGCTTCTGGACAGTCACACTGGTCAACAACAGGCTTTCCCAGCTCAAATGGAATGTGGTGTTTTGCGTCCCTAGGGTTTTTTATCTGGTCTTTCCTTGCTTTCAACTCTCTTGCTCAGGTGTTCCAGAACTAGCTGTGAGTCTATTCCTCTACTCTGGTCACTTCCGGAACTCAAAAGCAGCTCTAGAGATGATTACCAAAAAAAAAAAAAACATAGGTTTACCTCAGTTTCCCCAGAGGAGCCGGTTTGGCTCGAGGCCATGCCGGGCTCGCCACGCTGAGATCTCAGTGCGGAGGAACGGCCTCTGAGCTAACCACCTACATCCTCATTTTCTGGCACATTGACTCCTGGAATAAAAGAGCCATTTCAAAAAATACCTGTTTTCTTTTGCTTTTCCTGCGAGTGCTTGGGTCACCTTATACAGCGATCCCTCGGCGCGGGGGGAGGGACATTCAGTGCTGTTGCTGCTTGTTTCCAGGGCTTTGCTGCTTTGCCTCCCTGAAACCTGCATCTCAGTTGACTCCCTTATTTCTTACTCTCCCGCGGGTGTGAAGACTTCATCGTCCTATTACTAAAAAGCATGCAATGATTGAGCTTTCCCCTAATCTTAATCTAATCCTCCCAAATTTGTGCCTTTTTGTTTTTAAGACACAGATAGGGATTTCAGGCGACTGCTGAAACAGAACTAAAGCTAAAGTTCGAATGACTTCATTTTACTCACATCTTGGCAAATTCTACTAATGGCACTTCTAGGGGGGCAAAATGATCCTCAAATGACATCCAACCAGAGATCCCTGTGAAGAAAGTTTGGGTTTGAGCCATTCCTAGTTTCAAATATGGAAATTTAAGGCAAAGGAAGGGGCACTTTGCTTTGTCTTAGATTTCCCAGTGGACAGCATTCTGAAGAAAGTGCCAGTTCTCTCTGTCGGGGGACACCAACGCAGGACAGCCGGGGCACTGCCGGTGACGGCACCAGGCTCTGGGCGCCGCTCACTTGCGAGGCTGCTGGATGTGCGGCGTCCTCGGGGAAGGATGCTTGTCCATGGAGGCGTGGGGCTTCTGGTGGGCCACCTGCGCGGCTGCTGGGGGGAAGTCTTTGTCACCCTGTCAGGAGACACAGAATGCAGGGGCTGATCAACCATAAACACCCGGGTCAGTGAGTCAGGACTCCCCCACTGCCCCCACCGAGGCCCAGTGAGTCTACCCAGTGTCCCCGAAGGGTGAGTAAGGGAATGGTGCACCGGTCAGCAGGTGGCAGCCTGTCTCTTGTGGCTGGCGGGGGGCCTAGGCCATCAGAACCAGGGAGTGCAGGTGGCACGGAGGCCACGCACCATCAGCATGGTGAGAACGCTTGCCGGCTCTGTCCCGTGCCCTGAGATACAGGAACCACACAACTCACTAGGCCCTGAGTTGGGTGTTGGTGGCTTTCTTCTGTTAGATCTGCTTTTGCGATCATTTAAACTGGGGACAAGACAGGACCAATACAGAGTCTTAAATTCAAATTTGCTGCTGCACTTGTGAGCCAGGCCTGGGGCGCTGGCCGGGAAGGGACACACAGGGCGGCTGTGGGATAGAGCTAGAGGCAACCTGCCGAGGCCCAGAGAAGGAGCCTACTGTTTTTCCAGAGAGGGATCCGATGGCTTCAATGGCCAGCATGGGATGTGTGACCAGGGCTGACGCCTGGCCCAGCATGGGCGGGCTGGAGCCACGGCGTGCTCTGGCTGGGCCAACTGGCCGAGGTGCTGGCATTTAGTTTTCTCTCATGTGGTACACATGCCACCTATCTGTCCACAGGTCTTTGGATGGCCACAGTCACAGCTCTGCCAACAGTGAGCAGTCCTCAACAACGGCATTGTTTCCGGGCATCTTATAAGGACTCGAATGTCCTGAGAGCAACAGAGCCACAGACGGCGTTACTGCGGGAGCTGGTGGGACGTCAGCAGCTAAGACAGAATGTCGGGTCTCACCAGAGGGGGACTCCTGAAAGGTGAAGGAAGGGTGCGACCCAAACTGCAAGTCTAGTCTGGGATCTGCAAACGGAAACAGCCACAGATCAGCCGTGGCCGTGTGCCACTAAAACCTAGTCCGCGGATGCTCTATTTGCAGGTCGTGTAATTCTCACGTGGTGCCACACATAATTATTTTGATCTTTTCAATCATTTAAGAATGTAAAGTCATTCTGAGCTCACAGATCACTTACAAACACCTGGCCTGGGGGCCATAGTCTGCCGACCCCTGGCCCGGCGTGAAGAGGAGGGAGGTGGGTTGGGGGGAAGCGGAAGGCGGTTCTGTGGCGCCGCAGGTCCGCTCTGCTGGGTGCTCCGTGCTCCGGGTTCCTTCACGCATTCCTAACTACGAGGCCATGCTCCGTGCAAGTGTGACAGAGGAGAGAGCCGCTGGCCCCCGGCTTGACGACCAGTGTCGCCTGGCTATTGCAGGCCGGGTTTGACAAGACCAGCAGGAGCTGGGCGGTCACGCGCTGACACGCGAAGGCCTCGCATCCACCGTGGGTGCCCCTGGACTTACCCGGGCGATGACGCCAGAGATGAAGACGGTCGGTTTGGGTGGGCTGGAAAACAAGAAGGGAAACGGCGACTTAACGGGACGATTCCTAAGAGGGCAGGGACGGCAGGCAAGGTGTGGACGAGACCGTTCCAGGGAGCGGAACAAACGACGCCACTTCAGCACTCGGAGGAGCGGGGAGGACGTCACGGCGGGGCCCAGGCCCTCGTCTTCCTCAGCCTAGTTCGGGCAGTGAGCGAGAGAGGAAAAGAGATGGCAGCAAACGGCAGCCCGATCAGCTAAGAGTACCTTCTTTTTGGTGTTGTTTGTCGGTCAGTCCTCACAGCGTGCTGTGGCAAGCCCGGCCGTTAGGTCCGGGGGACCGTGGCACTTCCCTGGAGAGGGGAAGGGCAGGAGCCTCGCACGGACGACCCCAGGGACCGCCTGCCTCGGAAGCCACGGGCTTCCCCTCCAGAGCCTGGCGGCGAGACCCCGGGGCTAACGCCAGCCTCCTGGCCCCTGGGATCTCCCGGTACTGTGAGAGCGAGGTCCTCAGGAAGCTGTTGGCACCTCTTAGCATTTTAACCCACACCGACTCTGCAAAACTGCCGCGTGCTGAGGCCGCACTGCGGCGCCACAGTAATGCACTTTCAGGGCTGAGGAGCAGACAGACCCAAACGGGCTCAAATCACCTGTGGCTCTGCGCTGGAGATAATCACTATGAACACGCAGGGTGTCCGCCCAGCCCTGCTTTCTGTGAATAGATAGGTGCACACGCTTGCTTTCTTATTACGCTCTTTCTTACAATAGTGGCCGTACTCTTTTGTCATCTGCTGTCAGATGATGAGAATACAGTGGGTGTCCTTCCACGTTACTGTGCACTCGTGTTGGACGGCTGCATGTACCGCAGTTTAAACGCCAGGCCACAGTGGGGTAGCACACAAGGTGTGTGCACCTCCACCAAGAGTTAAGGAGACGCGAGAGCAGGAGGTGGATACAAGGACAGCCCAGCGGGGACAGTGCGAGCGGGGTTGCTCCCGGAGGGGGGCGGAGAGAGGCATGGGTGGTTCTGCTTCAGCCGGGTCCTGCTGGGCAGAGGGGGCAGAATTCAAGTCCTGAGCTCCCAGCCTGCCTCGTCCCACTTCTGCTTCTCTGCTCTGCAGCTGCTGGTCTTTCTAGGGAAGCCACTTGTCTGAGCTGTGTTTTGCTGCAGGCAAAAGTCCCAGTATTCAGAAAGTTCACTGACTGTTTACTTCCCCCAAACACCCCAAATTTCCCCAAGTCATTTCTGTTACTTCATGAGATGAAGAAACTTCAAGTTTTACTAAGCAGCATAGAAATGCCCGTATACTACCTTGCTTTTATTTAGTGTTTGTTGTGTGGTTAACTGGGTTGGATTTTTCCCCCTTTACGTATATAATTTAGTTATAGGATTAATAGCCAGCCAGAGATCGGTAAGTTCACCTCAAGTTTAAGCCCCCCCGGGCAGTATATTTGAATTCATTTGGATTCTTAAAGCACATCTTGCCGAGACTGCTCGATACCACCCACAGGCGAGGTCCACCACCTCCAGGGGGCTCGGGGCTCAGGGTTTTGCTTCCAAAGCTCAGGAACTGTGTCTGGATTCTAGCATTTTATTATTTTTTTATTTTTTATTTTTTTTGAGACAGAGTCTCACTCTTTTTTGCCTGGGCTAGTGTGCCGTGGTGTCCTAGCTCACAGCAACCTCAAACTCCTGGGCTCAAGCGATCCTCCTGCCTCAGCCTCCCGAGTAGCTGGGACTACAGGCATGCGCCACCATGCCCGGCTAATTGTTTCTACATATTTTTAGTTGTCCAATTAATTTCTTTCTATTTTTAGTAGAGAGGGGGTCTTGCTGTTGCTCAGGCTGGTTTCGAACTCCTGAGCTCAAACAATCCGCCCGCCTCGGCCTCCCAGAGAGCTAGGATTACAGGCGTGAGCCACCGCGCCCAGCCTGGATTCTAGCATTTTATAAACACTTTGGAAAGGAATATGGAATTGGTAGCACAGAGGTTTGTTAAAGTCATTTTGAATGTTCTTTTAAACATCTAGGAACAAACAGCCTGAAGTAGGGATGGCCCCGCTGTGATACAGAGTCACGCGGTATCACCTTCCACAGCCCTCTCTCTGCACCAAGGGTGCACTACTGTCCTAGTCATCTCCACTTTTAATTCGTTTTTTAATCTACCTCAAAGCTCTGAAAGGCACAAATACAGGAGGTCTGCCACTCCAACAACTTGGCAAGAACGTCATCCACAGAGAGTAAATCTAGTAAGAATAAATGCATAATGAAGGGGATTAGCTGCCCCACCCACAGCGAGCCCTGAAAGGTGGCTGAGGCGGCTTGGGCAATTGCGTATGTATACAAACGTTCCCCCCTTCTGTACACACACACACACACACACACACACACACACACACCATTGTATCTCCTTTCATTCAGCTTCACCTGCTGCACTTCGCAGACATTGCATTTTTTACAAATTGAAGGTTTGTGGCAGCTCTGTTGAGCACATTTATCGGTGCCATTTTTCCAACAGCACATGCTCACTTCATGCCTGTGCCACATTTCAGTAATTCTCACGATGTTTCACACTTTCTCTTTATTATTATATCTGTCATGGTGATCTGTGATCAGTGATCTTTGATGTTACTATTGCGATTGTTTTGGGTGCCAAGAACCACGCCCATATAAGACAGTGAACTTAATCAATGTCGTGCGTGTTCTGACTGCTTCACCAACTGGCCACTCCCCACCTCCCTCCTCAGCCCTCCCGATTCCTGAGACACAACAATATTGAATTTAGGCCAGTTAATAACCCCACAATGGCCTCTCAGTGCTCAAGTGAGAGGGAGAGTCCAGAGTCTCTACCTTTAAACCAAAAGCTAGAATTGATTAAGCTTAGTGAGGAGGCCTGCCGAAAGCTCAGGCAGGCTGAAAGTTGGGCCTCTTGTGTCAAACAGCCAAGTTGTGAATGCAAAGGAAGAGTTCCTGAAGGACGTTAAGAGTGCTACTCCAGCGAACACATGAATGATAAGAAAAACAGATTTACTGCTGAGATGGAGAGAGTTTGAGTGGTCTGGACAGAAAATCAAACCAGCCACAGCATTCCCTTAAGCCAAAGCCTAATCCAGAGCAAGGCCCTAACTCTCTTCAATTCTGTGTAGTCTGAGAGAAACGAGGTAGCTGCAGAAGAAAAGTCTGAAGCTAGCAGAGGTTGGCTCATAAGGTTTAAGGGAAGAAGCCATCTCTAGAACATAAAGGTGAAGCAGCGAGTGCTGATGGAGAAGCTGCAGCAGGTTATCCAGATCTAGCTAAGATCACTGATGAAGGTGATCTTAGCTACACCAAACAGCAGATGTTCATGTAGACAAAACAGCCTTCTGTTGGAAGAAGATGCCATCTGGGACTTTTATAACTAGAGAGGAGAAGTCAATGCCTGGCTTCGAATCTTCAAAAGACAGGCTGACTCTCTAGTTGGGGGTTAATGTAGCTGGTGATTTTAAGTTGAAGTCAATGTTCTTGTACCATTCCAAAAATCCCAGGGCCCTTAAGAATTATGCTAAATCTACTCTGCCTGTGCTCTACAAATGGAACAACAAAGCTCGGATGACAGCACATCTATTTACAGCATGGCTTACTGAATATTTTAAGCCCACTGTTGAGACCTACTGCTCAGAAAAAAATGATTCCTTTCAAAATATTACTGCTCACTGACAATGAACATGGTCACCCAAGATTCCTCTGATGGAGATGTACAAGGAGATTAATGTTGTTCTCATGTCTGCTACCACAACATCCATTCTGTAGCCCATGGATCAAGGAGTAAGTTTGACTTTAAAGACTTATCATTTAAGAAATTTCATAAAAATTTTAAAAAATTTATAAAGCTATAGCTGCCATAGATAGTGATTTCTCTGGTGGATTTGAGCAAAGTAAATGGAAAACCTTCTGGAAAGAATTTGACATTCTAGATGCTATTAAGAACATTTGAGATTCATGGGAGGAGGTCAAAATATCAACCTAACAGGAGTTTGGAAGAAATTAATTTCAACCCTCATGGATGACTTTGAGGGTTTCAGGATGCCAGTGGAGGAGTAACTGCAGATGTGGTGGAAATAACAAGAGAAGTAGAAGTGGAAGTCCCTCAAGATGGGACTGCAATGCTACAATCTCAAGGTAGAACCTGAACGGACGGAGTTGCTTCTCATGGATGAGTAAAGAAAGTGGTTTCTTGAGATAAAACCTACTCCTGGTGAAGATGCTGTGAACATTGTTGAAATGACAACAAAGGATTTAAAATAGTCCATAAACTTAGTTGGAAAAGTAATGGCAGGGTTGGAAAGGATCGACTCCAATTCTGAAAGTTCTACCATGGGTCAAATACTATCAAACAGCATCTCATGCAATAGAGAAATCTTTCGTGAAAGGAAGAATCAATTGATGCAGCAAACTTCATTGCTGTCTTATTTTCAGAAATTGCCATGGCCACCCCAGCCTTCCGCAACCTCTACTCTGATCAGTCAGCAGCCATCAACATTGATGCAAACCCCTCCACCAGCAAAAAGATTACAGCTGAAGGCTCAGATGCTCGTTAGCACTTTTAAGCAATAAAGTATTTTTAAATTAAGGGGTGTGTGTGTGTGTAGACATAATGCTATCACACACTGAAAAGACTGCAGTATAGTGTAAACATAACTTTTACATGTACTTGGGAAACCAAACATTTGTGTGATTCACTTTCCCACAATATTAGCTTTATTGTTGTGGTCTCGAACTGAACACACAGTCTCTCCAAGGTATTCCTGTACATGTGTATACATTCATTGTTGAAAAGCAGACAGCAAAAAAAAAGTTAAAATTGCTTATAATTCTATATTACTGTGTATGTTTGTGTTTATAAAATAGACACACAGAGAACTAAACTGTTAATATAAGCAAGCCGCCTGTCAAAAGATGGCAAAAGGCAGCCTCTTCCATAATGCCTAACAGTGATACGTAATTTTCACGTAACTCTTCCTTTGACAGAGCATATGTTGTGTTCC